AGTCTTATTTGATTATTATTTTTAAATTATTATATTCCTAAGTCTCCAATAAGAAGTTCTTAAATTTGATAATATGTATGACACATTCCAAAATATATTATACTTAATAACTCATTATGATAATTAAAAAAAAAACATAAAAAAGAACAGAAGGTGTCACCTTATTATCACTATATTTTACGGTGATTAAAATAATATTACACTTGCCAGTTAAATAACGATTTATAATTTAAGCAATATGGAGATTCAGAAGTTCGACTAGTTTTTATTCGTTTATTTCACAAAATATAGAATCAAATTAATTTCGACGAATTTTATTTATATTTTTATACTTGGCAACATTTGTTCACGTTTAAAAAACATGATTTAAAAAAAATATAAAATAAATAAACTATTTCGAAAGCAAGCTGTGTAAATTTCAATTATTCAAGATATATTTTTTAATTTCATTAAAAATTACAACCAGCATTGGCTACCACTATCAGTCGGAGTGTGAAATTAGCTCTTACGATATTTTTGTTTCTAATAAAAGGCGGAATATTTAAAGTTCTAAATTTTTCTATTCTATATGCAGTTTTGTCTACAGCGATATTGCGATAATATCATCCCTTACATAATGTATACTAGCTGCCAACATGGCGGCGGGGTACATTAAAAAAATTACCAATGCGTTACGGTTGAAAGATAATAATATCCTTAACCTAAAAAAATATTACATAACTTAAAACAAAAGAAAGTATATCAATAAATCTCAATAATTTTGGTGGTTTTGGCGTTTTTATTATATTTTATTATTTTACGGGGGGGGGGGGGGATTACCTTTATAACATAGAAGCATTTTACTGATGTAGTCATTAATGTAGTAAATGTATGATTACTACTTTTTTATTATAAAGATAACTATTAAAAAATATATTGGCGTAGGGTAGATGACACTCATGCTAACATTCTTTTTACAAAGTGAAAAATTATTTTTTTATAGGAATTGCATAATAAAATTCTATTTTTAATAGCAGTAAACAACATCAATTTCTCGATGTCAAATAAACATCTGTTCGTATATTTTTTAAAGGAACAAATTTAAATTAAAACGAATAATTGACAAACACTGGGTGTGTCACTGACACTACGTTATAGGACTCCTATACTGCCTAGGAGTCTGTCTGGGCAGATAGCTCTCTTTTACTTACTTCTGCCGCTAGATGGCAGTGCATGCACTACTGTAATTTGAAGAGTGTAGAGAGTCAGTGTAATTGGTGGCTGTGTTCCATCTAAGTCCTGAGAGGTGAGCCTTGGCGGCAGGTGTCCATGGACTACAGTCGCCACTTACCATCAGGTGGACTGTAAATTAGTTTGTCACTCTATTAAAAAAAATGAAGTAACAAAGTCTATGATGCATTCATTTGTTAATGTTCGTGTCAACTACCCAATCCTTAAGCCATGTTGCTTTTTTCATTTTAGCTTCTACTTGCCACATGTTTGCACTTTGGCATAGGATTCATTTGTCAGCAGTTAATATTATATAAATTTAACTTTGAGCAGAAATATTCACAGCGAATTCATTACCAACTACTGCACATTAACGTAAAGAAAAAAATTCCTTACGTGCCAATGTTTTTTTTTTTGCAGTTAATAAAATTCGAAACATATCCCCTTTCGGAATTTAGGAAATTGAAAGAAATATATTTAAACTCATATATCGTAATTATAGCCGCACGTACGTAAAAAATCCGGACGTAATGTAACACTGAAAACGTGTGAAGCACCCAAGGTCCTACAATTTTACACAAATACAACAAGGTCCGACTATCGGTGCCAATATACATGTGAGGGTGTATATCGCATATGAAAAACAAAATTGTAGGACCTAAGGCGGTTCACACGTTTTCAGTGTAATATTACGTCAGTCCATAGCAGCAATAAAAATACTGCAAGAATCTAGAAATGTAATTATAAATTATTTACTGATAAACTGTTGTATTCGCACAAATATTAGCTTAGACTAATTTCTAATTTTAATCTTACATAGTTAATAATATGCGCAATCGTTGCTCGGGTAGAAGTGCACTTGTTCCGAGTTATAACTAACAGTTCCACATTTCTAACATACTTTAATTTAATGCAATCACAATTTCAGACCTTATAACACGTCAACGTAAGATACATTTTATATCGTCACACAATCAATCATCCTCAACAAGCCACAATAAATAAATCCATTATAATATTCTTATTAACTAATTTGTTATTTAGAATCGATTTAAAGCGATTTAGAAAATGCCGTGGGGTTTAACAGTTTACGTTCCTCTTTGTGCTTGCTATAAAATCAAATGTAGCTTAAGCTTTATTCAATTTGTAATTTAGCGAATCTTATTACCTACGACATAAAGTTTATTTTAATTTTTCGATTAAAAGGCGTTTATAACATCTATCTAAAAATCTATTTTACATTTTGAACATATTTTACATTTTCCAACAATTCGTAAACAAATACGGACCTTATTTGTTTTTAACCTTACAGTTCCAATTCACTTAACGGAACTAATCACGATGTGAGTACAAGCCGACCGAAATATTTGCGAACTTTGCTAGAAAGTGCGTTTCTCCCGTTGTAAACTTAGTATATATTACACATATAAATGTAATATATTTTTTTATTATAAGATACGTTTTGTGATAAGACGTTGCGAGTCTAAGGCTGAGATCTATAGACCGTACTTTGACTTTGCACAGACTTTATTTTCGAGCTAAGACAATGTCGGTATATCTCTCTCTATAAGAGCAGACTTACGTAAAACTCGGGATATTATTCAAAACCACCGTGTTAATTTTTAATTGTTGTTTTTATGTTACTCTAATTAATTAAAACAATAAATAGGTAGTTTTAGGCCGTCTTCTAGTTTTAAATAGCATTCATCCATTTTCTATTATCGTAATTTCAACTTATTTCAAATTTCTTAAAATCTTATTTTTTTTCTTTCTTTTTATTTTTTTTTTTCACTCATCTCATCCGTTCCCGTTCTCATACGACTGTTTTCTATAACATAATACGTGGAATGAAGCATCCATTAATATTTGGACTCCCTGGGCCTTAGCATAAGCTTAGCTTAATCTTAGCCCGATACAACTTTAAATTCAGAATTAAAGATTAAGCTGAGCATATACTCAGCTAAGTTTGTCGTAAGCTAAGTCTGAGCAAAGCCAAAGTACGATCTATAGATCTCAGCCTAATTGTATAGTGTTATTTCGTCACCACGCCGTCAGTTACATTTTTTATTACTTTTTAAGTCTAAATAAAATTCACTACTGAGCATAGGCCTCCTCCATAGATTGCTTCATATCATGCAGGGTGTATTTTGTCATAGTTGCACATTTTATAATTTTTGGTTGATATTAGGAAAATGCTGCTACTCATACCCTGTTTCAGTTTCCCTTTCTTTCTTACCGACACCCACGGAACGATATGAGGTAGTGGATATTCTTACACCACAACTACACGGTTTAATATTTTATTAACAAAATAATATTATATTGAGTATATTATACGACTGAAGGTTAACACTGTGAATATCAATTAGATTTATTAATATCTCAGTATATAACCTTTACTGGATACCTATATTCTTTAGCAATTTAACATTCCTATGTAAGTGAATGTAAATTGGATGGATACAAGTCGCTTAGCACGGTACTTTACGGCAATCTATGGGGGAGGCTTAACTTCAGAAGTGGATTTGTGTTGGGCTGTAGTGATAGTGATATTTATAAAGACCATTATTAACCAGGTCCGCAGATATTTCGGTAGGGTTATATCTTTTAAGTAGGTAAGCGTCACACTAGGTGCGAGCGAGAGCATCAGTGCGATTGTGTAGCTCTGGTATGATTGTATGCCGGTGGGAGTTATTCCACAACTACGTTATGTATTTTCATTATGAAAATATTTCGTAGTATAAAATAAAATATTAATATAAAACAAAAAAACGAAAAAGGCAGTGTCGTGAGAGACAAATTAAGAAAATGCCATAAAAATTTTATGGTTTTTAATAGATATAATATATTATATACTATAGACCAGTAGAACCGGCAACAGGCGTCAATCCGCCTGCCTAGTGATGATTATAGTAAATTCTTTCCACCTGGAAATGCTCATGTCCAGCAGTGTCAACACTTGCTGTGAAGAAAAAGACAGAAGAGATATCGTCTAATAATCGATACTGATATACATACAACGACATCAAACCTCAAAACAAAGCAAAGTACGATTCCTACCGCAGTTACACGATCGCACTGGTGATCGATGCAGTAATATTAGACACATTATACAGTATTTGGTTATCGATGGGTCGGTGAAGGTCAGTTCGTAAACGAGGAGGTCCAACGGCGTGTTCGTGTCTTATGGCTGATTTATATTTCGAAAAGTACAGTAGCGAGTTTTAGTTACAGGGCAGTTGACAGTAAACGGTTAAGTAGGCAGTGGTGTTCAAATATCTTCGTGATGAGTTTAGTTAAAAAAAAGTACAATTTTATATTTTGAGGGTAGAACGTGAACACGTTTTCTGTCAATTTATGCACTGAACTAAACTCGCTCGCGTTCACTCGAGCGGCGAGTTTAGTTGCGGGTGGCAGGAGACGCGCGTGAGGACAATATTCGAACTTGACTCGCCGAAAAATAGACCAGCCGGCTATTCCGTTCAACTTAATTGTTATTTTGCTACTTAACTCATTGATTGCCGTTAAAACGATATTTTTTACTTAACTCACCATGCACACAAGTTAACTCGCTACTGTAATTGAAGTGTAAATCGGCCTTTAGGCGGAGGTGCCGAGATATTGAACAAATCAATTACGACGATCGCGTTGCCAATAAATGAAGTTATTAACGTTAGGCACATCAGTATTTGGCAGTCGATGGGTTGGCGAAGGACAGCTTGGAACGTATGGGAGTACGGGAGTGTGGGAGTGTGGGGGTGAAGGGAGTGGAGGGTGTGTCGGCGCGCGGTTCAGACGGAGGTGCCGTGGCGGTCGGCGTCGAGCGACACGTCTTCGGGGCTGGCCAGGTCGGCGCGCAGCCGCACGCCGCGCCCCGACAGCGTCCAGCGGCACGCACTCCGCCCCGCGCCCGCCCCCGCACCCACCCCCGCACCGCCACCCTCCACACCTACTGATATTCTGCAATTAAATAACTTACTTTAACTTTTGTTAGTAGGGTAATTAGTATAGCCTGTTCGCTAAGATAATGTCGGTACACCCGGAAGCGTACTTATTATTTTGTTTTTATTTTATTATTTTTTACAGCTTCTTAAATAAATATCTTCCTATTCTAAGAATAAAATAGAATCCTATTTTGATCTTATGGCTATTGTAGTAAAATACGAATATAAATATTAAACACAACTTTAGTAGCAAAGAACTTTTCACTAAGGGGCTTAGTTTTAAAATGCAAAGCTCTCCTTCCGATGTACGCCGCACGCGAAGATTTATGATATTGTGGCAGCGCCTTTGACAAGATGCAACACGTACCAAGGCGGCGCGACTCAAAGGCGACCGTATCCAAGCGAACAGACTATATTTATTAAACCTCTGGGAACTAAGATCTTTAACAATCTGAAATTACACGAGCTTTCTTTAAATACACCTGACCCATTCAGAATTCTCTTTATATCAAACTAGCAATTCGTCTCGGCATTTGAAAGTTATTTTAGATCTCAACAAAAGAACCATCCAGGTAAATTGAGGTAAACTTTCAACTACCCCATAAAAATTTAATCAACATAAATCAAGCCGTTTAAGAGTAAAAAATCACGAACACAAGACCCTGATATTTAGTACATAAAAATATAATGATTTATTATATTTACGCGAACACTACACGTTGAATAAATCTACTTTTACGGATTCTATCGCGTTCAATGATCATTGAGCAGAACATTGAGCTATTATGTACTACGTACTAGAGGTGACACTGCATTAAGTTACGCTGTCCCGGTTACTCCGGGTTAACTCTGACATCGGGACGTCAATCACCTCAGTGCTCCGTGACCATGGGTGCTGTAAAGTACCCGAAACGTCGGGATCAATAAAAAATTAGTTAATTAAACGCCATAGAATCCGTAAAAGTAGTTTTATTCAACATAAAAATATATTGTAATTCCTAAAAACGTTGAAAAAAAATCTATCCATTTATTTAAAAAAAAATATTATTTATCCTATGTACGAATGACTTTATGAAAAATATAACATATCATTAACAATTTGTAACAAAGTTGCTTTATGATTTGCGACATATAATATACGACTGTATACAGGCTGTTAGTGAAACGCGCCCGAAAACGAAGACAGACGATAGTAATAAGGATACGTTTGATGATGGGTCACAAAGAAATTCGATCCCGAGGAAAAAAAAGATCTGTTCACAACATTTTATTAGCTTTATTCACGCTCCATCATGTTAGTACAGCTAAATGAAACGATAATTTCATTAAAAAATATCATGAAAATACTTAAACATAAAACTAGCAGTTACAATCAGCTGACTACGGGTCAATGTACGCGCGGACGCCGAATTCGCGCGGCCCGCAGCTAGAAATGGTACCACAATACCTAATAATTTACAACACTTGTCTAAATACCTAACTTATCTACTTAACCTACTATTTTGCCACTGTGCTTGTCTCCACCTAGCCACTTTATTTACAGGTTAAATAAACCAAATACCTGTTTCGGTTCCCCGCTAATAAAAAAATTACTTAAATGAAATGTAAACAAGGTTAGAGTCATGCTTTTTTATCCATCGTGTACGTTACCTAGTCAGGTCATAAGTATTGTCACACAGTAAAAACTTTTTTTTTAGAATGCTGGCCACAAAAAAGTTTATTGAATTCGAATTTCGAATTGTTCATGAAAATAAAACTGTATACTTTTTAGAATTTTACTCATTTTTAAATATGGAGTGGACGCTTAAAGAAGACCGTGTTGCAGTTATTGCGTTGCATCGTTGCGGTTACTCGCCAATTCAAATTTTTAACATACTGAAAAATTTGAATATAACCAAAAGATTCGTTTATCGTACCATCAAACGATACAATGAAGACTCTAGTGTAGATGACAGGTCAAGAAGTGGTCGCCCTCGGTCTGTTAGGACTCCAGCAGTGATAAAAGCTGTGAAGGCGCGAATTCAAAGAAATTCCAAACGTAAGCAGAAACTGTTGGCCCTTCAGATGGGGTTAAGCAGAACCACGGTGAAAAGGGTGTTAAATGAAGACTTAGGGCTTCGGGCATATCGAAGAAAAACAGGACATCGTTTGAATGCTCGTCTAATGGACCTGAGACTGAAGAGATGCCGCGCTTTGTTGAAGCGGTACGCGGGAAAAAAATATCGGGAAATTCTTTTTTCGGATAAAAAAATTTTTACCGTAGAAGAGAGCTACAACAAACAAAATGATAAGGTGTACGCACACAGTAGTGAAGAAGCGAGCAACCGTATTCCGCGTGTCCAATGAGGTCATTTTCCATTCTCGCTCATGGTATGGTTGGGAGTGTCTTATTGGGGCTTAAAAAAGGTACATTTTTGTGAGAAAGGTGTAAAAACGAATGCAGTTGTGTATCAAAATACAGTCCTGACGAACCTTATGGAACCTGTTTCTCATACCATGTTCAATAACAGGCACTGGGTATTCCAACAAGATTCGGCGCTTGCTCATAGAGCGAAGAGCACACAAGACTGGCTGGCGGCGCGTGAAATCGACTTCATCCGGCACGAAGACTGGCCCTCCTCCAGTCCAGATTTGAATCCGTTAGATTACAAGATATGGCAACACTTGGAGGAAAAGGCGTGGTCAAAGCCTCATCCCAATTTGGACTCACTCAAGACATCCTTGATTAAGGCAGCCGCCGATATTGACATGGACCTCGTTCGTGCTGCGATAGACGACTGGCCGCGCAGATTGAATTAACTTTAGTGTCATAAGAATCTATGTTTTGTTAAGTTCATTTTGGTATATAAATGGTTACATAATGAATAAACTTGTTTCAATTATTTTATATTAAACATGTGACAGAATTTATGACCTTACTAGGTATGTTTATTATTCTGATGTATTCAGTTATGTACCTATTCAGATGAGTTCAGTACTGTTATTTAAAAAAATAGGTATTAAACAGCTTACCAATCTGAATCCCCGTGGCCTTATGAGATTCTCCAAGGCACATTAACTGTTGCCGTATTCACGAGCACTATAAACGTACCTACTACCTACGCGTTAGGCATTACTAAAACAAAACAAGAAAAACAAAACGTAACAAGAAGAATGTATTAAACAAAACGATTGAACTGTCGCTCACACGTGATAGTCAACACGGAACTGTCTCAAAAAATAAAATTAATAATCAATCCCGCCAAAACAAATGCGCACGAGGCATTCGTAACGTCCTTGAAGCACTGAGCATTTCCACAGACCGTTAAACCGTTACGACATTGCCAACGTTTATTTTATTTATAAGTTTAGTTATACGACTAGTCTTCATATGGAATTTAGAAGTTATGGTTGTCATTTTTAATACAATTACTACAAAAATATATTTAAATTAATAAACATACCTAATTGGGAACTCAATACTCACTTACGCAATTATAAACACTATTTCATCATTATCTTTGATTTTGTACTTGAAATGGTACTGAATAATTTAATAGTTAAAATCAATGACAATTAGGATCGACAGTTAATTAATCTATCAGAATTAATGTAAAAAATAATACTTTTACTTTATTTTAATTGACTTACCGTATTTAATCCGATCAATACTTTGAATTTAAAAAGTGGTACGTCAAAATTATTAAAAATTTCTTGCAAGTTATATAGTGATTGCCGCCTTTAATTCTTATGTCGCCGGCAAACTAAATTTCGGTGCAACATGGCAGCGTTGCCAACACCAATTTGTCAAAATCCCCTAAAATTCAAGTCAAATTCCCCAATTTAAGGACAAAACTTCAACAGATTCTTCATAAAGTCCCCTCAATTTTATTTTAAGAAATGAATCGATTTTCAAGTAATTTTATAAGATTTACTTTTTAACAAACTTTTTTTTCTTTCAAATTAAAAAATAAAGAAATGAAAAGCATTAAATGATACACAATAGTTGCCGAAATAAATCCGAAAAATAAATGTGGTGCAATGAAGATAATTAAAAAAGGGAGTCATTAGATATTCATAAGTAACCTAACAAAATGTTAAGAAAAGTATTTAGATTTCTTGAAAAAAGGTTCTGACTTGGCCCTGTCTATCGATTTTCAAAATCCCCGTATTTTCCCCGCATAATACCAATCCCCATAAAATCCTAACCAACTTTAAATTCCCGTAATTTTGGGAACTCCCCACATGTTGGCAAAGCTGACATGTATAAATTTCACAGCGCGAGGCGACACGAGCCGGCCGGGCGGCGGTAGCACGTGTGTGAATGGGAAGGGTAAAGTGAGTAGGCATTGTTTCGCACCGAGCTAGATAAGAGTTCGCCGGCTGCGCGTACATTCACCCCTAGTCAGCTGATTGTAATTCGACTGCTGGTTTTATGTTTAAGTATTTTCATGATTTTTTTTTTAATGAAATTATCGTTTCATTTAGCTGTACTAACATGATGGAGCGTGAATAATGTTAATAAAACGTTGTGAAAAGATTATTATTTTTCCTCGGGATCGAATTTCGTTGTGACCCATCATCAAAGGTATCCTTAGTACTACTATAGTCTGTCTTCATTTTCGGGAACGTTTCACTAACACCCGGTATATTGTATTAATTGATTTTTTGTTATAGAATACCTCCTAAAACACAGTGTCATAATTCTTGCCAAATAGGGAAGTAAGTAGACAGACTCCTAGGAAGAAAATACATTATAGTGTTACGAGTTTGGGGTCCGAGACAATTAAATACTGCCGATTGAATTACCAAAATTGACTATTTAATTACACAACACTAATTATAACTTAAAATCACACTAATAATAAAACACAGTTCGCCGTTATTTCGCTTCGAAGTATTCTCTTGTATCGCCAATTCAATACTGCCCCGGTCGTGGTCTATACCGGCCTTATATAGGGCCTCAGATTTCCAGAACCTTCTACTGTAGCGACATCTAGAATGTTCGAGTACATATCAGTCCCGAAATTTCTGGAAGGATCTCGACTCTCCTAGTTCTGCTACTCGACACTAGAGGGCGTTAGTGTAACTAGTGTTGCCATGTACAAGACATTAATAGTGGCGCGCAACACTTTCTTTTACTCGACACTAGAGGGCGCTAGTGTAACTAGTGTTGCCATGTACAAGACATTAATAGTGGCGCGTAACACTGCCCCCTCCTAAGACATGCTCGTCCCGAGCATTATTGGCCCCATAATAACGCGCCAGTCGATCCACATGGACAATCTTAGGAGTACCTCTGACACCTTTCTGTATCCGGTAGGTTACGTCATTGATCCTTGTCACAATCCGGTACGGTCCGTCCCATTTAGCTTAAAGCTTAGGAGATTTCCCTTTGCTGCGAACTGGGTTGTGTAACCACACTAGTGAACCTTCATCAAACCCCTTGTTGTTCATTTTGCGGTCATACCGTGTTTTCATCTTCTCAGACGTTTGCTGGCCCGTCTGTCTGACGTGCTCATAAATGTCATTCATTTTGTTCCGCAAGTCATTTGCATAATCGGTTATACTGCGTGGGGCATCAGGTGGTATTCCGGTGATCAGGTCTGCAGGCAGCCGCAATTCTCTCCCAAAGTTGACGAAAGCTGGTGTCACTGATGTACTTTCGTGAACAGCGCTTCGATATGACAACAAAAACGGTTGTATGTGCCTGTCCCAGTCTCGTTGCCGTTTTTCCACAACTTTTGCTAGGTACCTCTCCAATGTCTGATTAAATCTTTCTACCATTCCATCAGATTGTGGGTGGTAAGAAGTTGTTCGTGTTTTCTGAGTACCCATAACTCGGCAAGTTTCCTGGAATATTTGAGACTCAAAATTCCTTCCTTGATCGCTGTGAATCTCTAAGGGTACTCCAAAACGACAGAAGACTTCATGAACTAGTTTATCTGCAACGGTTGAAGCTTCTTGATTTGGAATGGCGAAGACTTCTGGCCACTTAGTGAAGTAATCCATCTCAACCATGAAATACTTGTTACCACTTTCAGTTTCTGGAAACGGCCCCGCAACGTCAATGGCTATCCTCTCCCATGGTGCACCAACATTGTACAATTTCAATGCGCCTCTACTACGAATTTGAGGTCCCTTTACAGCCGCACAACTTGTACATTTGCGGCACCAGTCCTCGACATCGTCACGACAGTGGACCCAGTAAAACCGTTCTCGGGTCTTCAGGAGAGTTCGTTTAACTCCCAGGTGGCCTCCTGAACAACCACTATGGTATAGCTGTAGAATATCCGGCACTTTAGCCTTAGGGACAACCATTTGCAAATGACACCTGTCTCCCCGACCATTTTCCCATTTACGGCACAGGACTCCATCCTGAATCAGCAAGCTGTCCCATTGGGCCCAATAGCTTTTCGTGATCGAACTCATTGCTGAGACGTCGCTCCACTTGGGCTTAGGAGCACTGGCCTTTATCCATTCCAGAATCGGCTTAATGTCCGAATCTTCCTGCTGTGCATGTTGTAGGCTGTCCTTCCACTCATTGCTGAGCTGGTCTGTCCTGAGCATCCTCACAGATACCACTTCCTTACCCTCTTGCCTAGTACAATGCTTGCAATCTTCAGGGCAAGGTCTTCTTGACAATGCATCTGCATTGCCATGAGATTTGAATGGAATGCAATAACGCAACTTTCATCCCAGCAGAAATGTCGCTTCTCCTCGGTTAGCTTGTGCAGAGGTTTGGCTATATCTGCAAAGTTCTTCACAAATCGCCGATAATAAGAGCACAAACCCAAAAATGCTCTAACCTGTGTCTTGTCTTTTGGAATCGGCCACTCCTTGACAGCGGCAACTTTATCTGGATCCGTGCGGATACCTTCTTCCGACACTACATACCCCAAAAAACTAACTTGCCGTTTGAATAGTGAGCACTTCTTCGCACTCAACTTGAGGTTGGCACTCTGGATCTTTGTGAGCACACATTCCAGGTTTTGAAGGTGTTCCTCAAACGTACGGCCTACGGTGATGATGTCATCCAAATAGACCAGACAGGCATCTCCAATTAGCCCGCTAAGTACAAGCTCCATCAACCTTTCAAACGTTGCTGGAGCATTGCACAATCCAAACGGCATGACTTTAAATTGCCACAGACCCTTTCCTGTGGAGAATGCAGTTTTCTCCTTGTCCTTAGGGTCAATTTCAACCTACCAGTAGCCACTTTTCAGGTCCAGCGTACTAAACCACTTTACGCCTGTGAGCATGTCCAGCGTGTCATCAATTCTAGGCAAGGGATAGCTGTCCTTCTTCGTAACGTCGTTCAGGCGGCGGTAGTCAACTCAAAACCGCATGCTGCCGTCCTTCTTCTTTACCAGCACCACAGGTGAACATCATGGACTAGATGAAGGTTCAATAACACCATCCTTCACCATTCCCTCAATCATGGTTTCCACTTCCTTTTCACGTGCTACAGGCAATCTTCTTGGCCGCTGACGAATAGGCAATTCTTGTCCTGTGTTTATTTTGTGTTGAACTAAGCCAGTCTTTCCTATGTCAGCTTCGTTTGACGGAAAAATATTGGCGTACTTGAGTAACAACTTCTTCGCCTTGATCATTTCATTCGGGGAGAGAACGCTGCGACAGTCTTCTAAAAGTGTGGTCACTCTCGTTTGTCCATCCTTGCTGAGGGTCCCAGTCGATAGATATTGACACCGACGCAACCAATCCACTTCCTCACTAGTACCAACCAATGTGCCTTTTTCTATAATCTGTTCCTGATCACAAAGGTTCAGCACACGTACTCCTGAGATGTCGGCGGTTCTGACCAAGGTTCGAGCCACTATCCATGGAAGGTCGTTGTCTACCCTTTCCACGAGTACACAACGAAGAGTTTGCCCAGGATTCCGATGAAGTCTAACCGGCACAATCGTTTCCGATCTCGGCAGAAGAACAATCTTCTTAAGGTTGTACACATTCCCTGGTAAGGCCCCTTCCACGAAAAGTTCCTCTTGTCCACATTTCAAAACACCTTGCTTAACGTCGATCTCACAACAATTCTTCCTCATAAAGTCTAGGCCCAGGATGCAGTCGTCCATTATATCAGCCACGATGACATTATGCAGGTAGATCATGTTGCCTAGCTTCAACTCCATCTCCTTCTCTCCATGGACGGGTATGCGCTGACCAGTGGCTGTCACCAAATTAATGCGTTCTCGGTTGTATGCGGAGTCCCCAAGGAACCGACTTACAAGTTGGGAACTGACAACCGTGCGGGAGGCTCCAGTGTCTATGGTCAGTTTACACGGCGTTCCGTTGACTTCGCCCTTGATGATTAGGCTGTTCCCATCATGGGTTTGTGAGATCGAAATCCTTGGGGCTCTTTTAACATCAGCCAGCACCCGCCCCGCAGTCCTGGCTTTTACTCGTTTCCCTGCTGCTGCTGGGCGGTGCTATTAGCCGCACTACCCTCTCGAGATCGATCACCTTCCCTTTCTACAGTTCGCTTAGGGCAGCTGGATCGAAGATGGCCCCTTTCCCCACAGCCGTAGCACCTAGGGCTGTAGCTTTTATTGCGGTCCTGAACTATAGCTGCTGCAACCTCCCTGACGCGGTGGGAACGATGATCCTGCCGCACGGCTTCCACCTCCAGTGTATGGGTCAAGGCGTCCCTAAGCGTCTCGTGGTGCCCGAGTCTCACAGCAGCTCTGACTTCAAGGTCGCGGATGCCGTCGATGAATGTCTGCACCAGGTTCCCTACAATAAGCGCAGGTACAGACTGGTACGCTTTTCGAACCAGCTTCTCCACCTCAAGGGCCCACTGCTGCAGGTTTTCGTTACTGCGTTGCACGCGATCTTTGAGCTGCGCACGAAAGACGTGTTCCAGGTGAGCGTCGCCATATCTCGCCTCCAATGCCTCAAGGAGCTGCTCGTAAGTCACTTCCTTACCGAGAGCTTCCAGAACAGTTAAGGCTTGGTCGCGCAGGCCTAGGGTGAGAGCAATCATGGCCTGACTTTTATTCCAGCCGTTCGCTTTCATGACAGCCTCGAACTGGATTTTGTAGGCCGACCAGGAAGAAGTCCCGTCGAACGGTGGCACTTTGAACCCACGTAGCGAAGGTGTTGTAGCTACCACGGGAGCTGTAACTCCAACCCCAATTTTGAGGTCGTTCAGCGTTTTCTTCACGTCAGCCATCACATTGTCAACCCGATTGTACACTTGGTCGATTCGGGTTTCAGCTTCCGACAGGCGGTTGTCATATTGAGCAACCTTATCCTTCACCTCAATTATTTCTTTCCCGAAGGTAGCGTGAAGGTCCTTTATGAGAAGTATCTGCTCTTCCTTATCGCGTTTGAGCTGCTCTTCCAACCGACGGCCCTGTTCCTCCCGTTGGCGGGCCTGTTCCTCCTGTCCGCGCTGCAGCTGCTCTTCCAACCGACAAGCCTGTTCCTCCTGTCGGCGGGCCTGTTCCTCCTGTCGGCGGGCCTGTTCCTCCTGTCGGCGAGCTTGTTCCTGCAGCATCATCATCAGAGTACCTAAGTCAGGTGCTGCAGATGCAGGAGCTGCTGACGGGCCGGACTCCGTGGTCGGCAACTGGCCTGCCGACGTCTGTGACGTTGCACCACCAAATCGTCTCTGGTCCGTCTCCTGTTGGCGTTGACTTCGGGTACGGATACCCTCGGTGTCGTCTTTAGGTAAAATCGGCATATTTGATCCCACTTCTGACACCAATTATTACGAGCTTGGGGTTCGAGACAATTAAAAACTGCCGATTGAATTACCAAAATTGACTATTTAATTACACAACATTAATTATAACTTAAAATCACACTAATAATAAAACACAGTTCGCCGTTATTTCGCTTCGAAGTATTCTCTTGTATCGCCAATTCAATACTGCCCCGGTCGTGGTCTATACCGGCCTTATATAGGGCCTCAGATTTCCAGAACCTTCTACTGTAGCGACATCTAGAATGTTCGAGTACATATCGGTCCCGAAATTTCTGGAAGGATCTCGACTCTCCTAGTTCTGCTACTCGACACTAGAGGGCGCTAGTGTAACTAGTGTTGCCATGTACAAGACATTAATAGTGGCGCGTAACAATAGCCTATCAAGTCTACTGTCAAATACAAGCCTCCCCCATAGATTGCTTCATAGTGGCGACGCATCGAGGTTAATTTTTACTTTTTGATTACCTGATTGCGAAAGAAAATATAAGAGCGGACGGCGCCTCCATAGAAGTCAAGAAGCCGGGCTTGCTCTAACAAATTGCTCAATCAATAATATCAACTAATAAAATAACTCGTGAACTGTTTCAAACTATTTCAAATTTCCCGCGCGCTCCTCTCTTCTACACACGTCATGACCTCGTAGCCTTATTATGTAACGTCAACACTTGGCAGATTGCTTAACTGCGCGATACTGCTGTTATAAAAAAGGAGTTGAGCGATTAGTCGTCTCTCTCGCACGCGTGGGTTTTTTACCGGGTTTTCGAGAAGACGATCGCTTCCTTTCTAACCTGTGGCAAAATGTTCTATAATGAAATATAACTACGATTGTTTATATAGCAATTAGTATCACAGTGGTAGAGCCACGCGGCAGCTTTTGCTGTCGCACGGATGGGCCGGCTCGAACCGGGGTGGTACCACGACCTCACAGAAAACCAGCGTGAAGTAGAGGTTTACCTCTGCGTTTCGCTTGGTGAGTGCAGGTGGCCGGAGGCCCTTTTTACTGGAAATGAGGCATTCCATCTTAGTCCTCACGGGTGGCAACGCATCTGCATTTTGATTCGCAAACGAGGATAGATGTATTTTTATTTATTTTATTTTATTTTTATTTTTATTTTAATAAGGATAACAACAGCGTATATCACTAAATACAATTTTCAATTTCACTTCAAGTATGCCAATAACAGTCATCCACATATTAAATATAAAGGTAAGCCAGGTACAATTATAATAAATAAAAACAATGCAAATTAGACCAATTTAAAACAGCTTAATAAAATAACAGTAATAAAAATTAAGTAATTTTAGGTTTACTAACACTTACATATTAAGCCTTACTGATAAATTGATATGCGATTTACTTCTCGAGTATTTTTTTTTATTAATTTATTTATATCATGGCATATTATATTATATCTATCATACATATATATATATATATATATATATAGATATATACATACATACACACATACATATATATATATATATATATATATATATATATATATATACATATACATATAATTATACACATATACATACATATTCATACATACATACACACACATACATATACATACATATTCTAAAATATTACATAGTTTACTTATTATTTAAATATAGATACCTACAGAAAGTGTTCTTCATAATGTACCTTACCTGCATCCTACATAAATGGTTACAAATACAGGTAATTCAAACAACAGAAGCTGTGTTCAAAATGAATGCACATACCTTGTTTGTAAAATCACTTTTACTGCCTATAAAGGGATCGATGGTATTAAATGTTTTGTTATAATTTGATAACAATCGTGTTAAGATACTATTTTTACCGTAAAGTGTGGAGTGACGAGGAATACAAAACATAGTTTCCTTGGTGATTCTAGTACGTTTTTTTTGCACATTAAACGTGACATTATTCAGTAAATCCGGACAGTCAATACCTTCGCGTAAAATATCATATAGAAATCCCATATCTAACAGTGCTCGTCTTTCTTCGAGCGTAAGAAGGTTATAGTGTCGGCAGTCATCTAAATATGATGAGCTATTATGTTTAAATTTATAGTTCAGGTGTGAAATAAATTTACGTTGAATTCTTTCAATATTGTTAATGTAAATTTTAAAAAGCGGTGACCAAACCTGGCATGCATACTCAAGAGTGGATCTTACATACGAAAAATAAACTATTTTAAGACTTAGTAATTCCGTAAATGGAAGACATGTGCGCATGACAAATCCAAGATTACGAAAAGATTTACTACATATACTATTGATATGATCACGCATGGTCATGCCGGCATCAAAGAGTACGCCTAAATCTCGAACAACTGTGACCCTCTTAATTAAAATTCCATTAAAATTATAGGGAAATACTATTGGATTCAATTTCCTGGTGAAAGATATACA